ACTCGAACACTTTACTTCTGCTTACTGGTTTATTAATAAAGTACACAGATAACAGCTGCATACAGGTACAAAGGGCAGAGTCTGGAATAGATCTTAGTGCAGGAGCCTCTGTCTCCTTGACTTGGGGTTCACAGTCCTCCCAGCACTCAGAAGTGTTTACCAAGTAAGGAACTCTTTGAAAGCCCCACAGGGGTTTGCTGGGGGAGGGGAGGTATGGAGGTTTCACTGCGCAGGCACGAGGGATTATCTCCATTTCCAAGCCCTCTTCTCCAGGCCTGTGATCCTGACTTGGTCTTCCTGGTCACCAGTCACCATCAAGAGGCTCCTAGACAAAGGATACTCCCACAACCCAGGAAATTCCAAAGGATTTAAAAGCTTTGTGCCAGGAATCAGTCAAAGGCCAAATACTAGAACAAAAGATTTTCCTGGTATTCTTATCTACAAGGGTGTTAGGAGTTCTGTCTTGCGAATGGGACAGACTACTAAACATGGAAACCAAAGCTTCTACTAACACCCCTATAACTCAATGAATTTTAGGAGCTCCATGTCAGGAGCTGGGCAGAAACCATATGCACCTTTCTTCCTATTTCACATTGAGATATTAGCAGAAAATCTACAGAGAAAAAAGAAGCCCTGAGGTTTAGAAGGAAGATGCTGAGGATCACCGGCCTACAGAAGACCTTGAGACTGTGTTAAATTACTGAAGATGAGTTCTTGGGAGCATTGCGAGGATAAAACAGAGAAAGAGGGAGAACAGGAAACTCCAGTGGCACAAAGCTGAAGAATTTCAGGAAAGAGGCTGTGCAGAGGGAGGCCTCTAGGGTGGGAAGGTTTAAAGGAGAGCGAGAATCAAGAGTGAAAATCACTGGCCTCTGGCCATCCTTAACAAGGCTGTAATCCAAGGACAGAGAGAGGCTTCAAGGAACAGCAAAAGCTAGAAAGGGCTTTTGTTTATTTTGTGTTTATTATGTGTGTGTCAGAGGACAACTTGTGGGAGTCAATTCTCTCCACCCCCCATATGGGACCAGTTCATCAGGTTTGGCAGCAAAGGCCTGTATCCACCAAGCCACCTCACCTGCCCTTTATCTTTTGGCCTGTTTGGTGCTGCTTCTTCCCTTGAAGAAGGAAGACATAAGCACGATAGTTGGCTGTGAGAGGGAAAAAAGAAAGAAAACCAGCACTTGGGAGCCTGAGACTGAGGCCAGCTGGGCTACACAGCAAGATCCTGTTTATTTTTATTTTTTATTTTTTTTTTAAAGGGTGGGGACCAGGGAGGGGCTGGTAAGATAGCTCAGAGGATAAGGCACTTGTCACCAAGCCCAAGGACCTGAGTTCAGTCCCCACATGGTGAAAGGAGAGAATCAACCCCCAGAGAACAAGCTGTCCTCTGGCCTCCACATGTGTGCCATGGAATGTGTATGTATGCGTGCACACACATGCACGCACACACACACACACGCAAACACAAATAAATTAATAAAAATATAATAAAATAGTTTTAAAACATGACAAACATTAAAGGCGAGAGTGAGGAGCCAATAGGAGGAGGTGGTATTAAGATTCTGTCAGGATGAGCCTGAGAAAGAGGAGGCAGAGCCTTTCTGCAACATCAAGTAAGCATCAGTGCTTTCTCTAATGGGGTGAAGAGTACATACAGAATGACTTTTTCAGTCAAGTATTAAGTGATATTGGAGCACAGATATCAGCTCAGGGTTTATACACTGAGGAGAAGATCGGAATACACAAATATGCCATGGCAATTTTTTGGTTTTGAGACAGGGTCTTGTGTAGCCCAGGCTGGCTTCAAACTCACAACATAGCTAAGGATGACTACAGACATGTCGCCACATCTGATGTACATGGTGCTGGGCTTCATACATGCTTAGCTGCAACTCCAGCTAGAACTTTTTTTAAATTCTAAGTTCTTAAGACTATAGGAAGGAAACCCTTAACCACAAATGCCTATTACTCAATTAAAAGAAAGAAATAAAAGAAGTAGCTTGATAAAAGAGATACTGATGCTAAAATTTTCAGAAAACAAAAAGAAGGCATTCAGTCAGAAAGCCCATTAGATATTTTTGGAATTTTTTTAAAGATTTATTTTAAGGGGCTGGAGAGATGGCTCAGTAGTTAAGAATACTGGCTGTTCTTGCAGAAGACCCGGGTTCAAATCCCAGCACCCATATGGCAGCTAACAACTGTCTGTAACTCCAGTTCCAGGGGATCCGACAGCCTCTTCTGTCCTCCGTGGACATTCATGACATGGGTGCGCTTACCTACATGCAGGCAATACACACATACACATAAAAATAATAAACAATTTTTTTTAATTTATTTTAAATTACGCTTGTGTGTATGTCTATATGGGAGTATGTGCACATGGAGTGCCTGCAAAAGCCAGAAGAGGGTGTTGGAGCTGGAATTACAGGCTGTTGTGAGAAGCCTGATATGGATGCTGGGAAACCCATATCAGGACCTAAATTCAGGTCCTCTGCAAGAGCAGTTAGTGCTCTTAGCCATTGAGCCATCTCTCTAGCCCCAGATTTTTAAAAAATATTTTATTATTTTATGAGTATGAGTGAGTGTATTGCCTGTATGTGTGTAAGTGCACCTGTGTCATGCAATGCCCTCGGAGATCAGAAGAGAGCATTGGATCCCCTGGAACTGGAGTTACAGACAGTTGTTAGCCGCCATGTGAGTGCTGGGATTCAAACCCAGGTCTTATGCAGGAACAGCCAGTGCTCTTAACCACAGAGCCATCTCTCCAGCTGGAGCCCCAGATATTTTAGAATTTTATCATCAGCAGGGATTGCTTGGTCAAAAGGAATTAAATTTAAAGCATTGTAAGCCTTAAGATCCAGAGGATCAGCCCTTACCTGGTTTAATTTGCTATTGCCATGTCTGTAGACAGTAGCTCTTACACGTAATCTGTTAGATGCTTTAAAGTATCCACAAACACTACATGAACAAAATGGCAGAGCAAGAAGCATAAAAGGTGATTGCTGTGGCTTTAATCATAAATGTTCCCCCAAAGTTCTCATGTCAAAAGCCTGGCCTTGGTTGATGGCACAATGGGAGGTGGTGTCTAGCTGGAGAAGGTGGGTCACTGGGTCACTCGGTCATGCCTTGAAGAGTGAGGCTACTCCCTGGCCCATGGTGCACATATGGCTCTTTTTCTCACCCCGTCCCCTCTCTCTTGCTCTAATTCCAGGCTACCATGAAGCTAGTAGCTTTGCTGCAACATGCCCCCTCCAAGATGTCTGCCTTCACATGGGCCAGAAGTAATGAGGCTGAGCAACCACAGACTAGAACTTCTGAAACTGTGTGCCAAAATAAGACTTTCCTTACTTAACTTGATTTTCTGAAGTATTTTTTCAGAGACAGAAAATGATTAACACAGTAATAGAGATCTGTGATGGGCTGAATGGTGGCTCCCAAAAGGACACCTCCAAGTCCTAATCCCAGATCCTGAGGGTATAAACTTACTACAAAGGGTGTTGCCCCCCAAGAGGACATGTCCAAGTCCTAACCCCTACAGCCTGCGGGTATAAACTTACTACAAAGGGTCCTAATGGATATAATTACATTAAGGACTATGAGAGGAGATGAGATCTTCCTGGATTTCCCAGGTGGGGCTTAACTCCAATGATAAGTGTCCTTACAAGACAAAGAGGACAGACACACAGACAAAAAGGCCATGGGAAGATGGAGGCAGAGGTGGGAGCAACTCAGCACAAACCAAGAGAACCCTGGATCTACAGGAAGCTGAAGAGGCAGCGAATTTCTAGAATCTCCCTTTGAAGCACAGCCCATTGCCATCTTCATTTCAGACTTTTGGCTTCCAGAACTTGAAAGAATAAATTGTTTAAAAGTCCCTAGTATGTGGTTGTTATGGCAGCCCTAGAAAACTAATATAAGGTCAGATACACAAAGTGGGTCACATGACATGGACTGAACTATAGTCTTAATAAATCTTGGTATCTGGCCAAGCTTACTCCAGATCTTTTTTCAAAGAAGTAAAAGTTTTTCAGATATAACCAGGCATGGTAGTGCACACCTTCAGTCCCAGCACTTGGGAGGCAAAGGCAGGTGGATCTCTGTGAGTTCAGGGTCAGCCTTGTCTACATACTGAGTTCCAGGCCAGCTGAGGCTACAGGGAGACCCTGTCTCAAAAAGACCAAAAAAAGTTTTTCAGATATAACTGAAGCCTCGACATTCCTCCTAAATGACCCCTTTCTCCTTCCCTCCTCAGGGGCCAACACTGTTCACAGCTGAGTATGCCATTCTCCAAAGTCCACTCACACACAAGCGAGACGCAGTGAGGCTCCATGCACCTGCCCTGCATATTCACAGGAGCCAGCTCTACATTTACTCCATTATTTTATTCTCAATATAGCTTCTGAGATTTATTTATGTTGATAAGTGCAATGTAAGTCATTGGTTCAACAGCTGAAAACCATTTATGTCCATGTTTTCAGTTATTTTTTTTAATTTTCACTCTAATAAACAATGATTCTATAAGCCTACTGCATTTGTACCTCCTTATCCACATACTAAAATTTCCCTGTACTCCTAGAACAGACCTGAAAAATGACTTCTTTTCAAAACCTGCTTTCCTTAGGTAATTAATATTTATTACAATGTAAGAACATCCCCACAATTAGTAAAGATTCTGACAACTTATAAAACTTTCTTATATTATGTATTAATTTTTTTTAAATTTTATTACATTTATTTATTTGTGTGTGGTGGGGGTACCACAGAGTGCATGTGGACATCAGAGCACAGCCCAGGGAGGGAGAAGGTTCTTTCCTTCCACCATGTGGAGATGGGACTCAGGCCTTTGGACTTGGCAGCCCAAATTCTGTTTTATTTTTAAATTATTCTGGAGTGGTCAATTAGCAAAGATATTTGGAGTGAAAAAAAAAAGAAAGAAAGAGAGAGAGAGAGAGAGAGAGAGAGAGAGAGAGAGGGAGAAAAGAAAGAAAGAAAAATATTACCTGTGTGATATTTTTAGAAGACATAATTGCCTGATTATAGAATATGCGGCCAAAGTGGTCTCGGTCTGGAAACGTGTCTGCTTGCCGAGGTAAGTTGGCTCCTCCAGAATCAACTGAACAAGGAAAATGAAATGAGAACAGCTCAATGAACAGCCAGGGTGACCTGCAGCACTGGCAGGACTGATCTGAATCCATTCACAAAACATGTCCACTCTCTCTCACCTGTTCTAGAGTTTTTCTCCATCCCCCAACACAGCCAAAAGGATTCAGTCCCCCACCTACTACCCATTCGGCTTTCTGACCCCTGTGCAAAATTCAGTCCTTTAAAGACTAGCAAAAGGCACAGAAACACCATGAACTGGCCAGTGGAACTGAAGAAATTATATCAATACAAAAGCCATCTATAAAACTTATGGATAATTTGCATATTGTTTTGGGGTTTTTTTTTTTGTTTTTTTGTTTTTTTTTTTGTCTTTTTGAGACAGGGTCTCCATGTAGCCCCAGCTGTCCTGGAACTCACTATGTAGACCAGACTGGTCTTGAACTCACAGAGATCTGCCTGCCTCTGCCTCCCAAATGCTGGGATTCAAGGAGTGTGCCACCACGCCTGGCACTCTCGTACTATTTTTGTTGGATTTTTTTTATTTGGTTGTCTGGGATTTTTTAATTTTTTTTTTTTTTTTTTTTTTTTTTTTTTTTTTTTGTCTTTTTGAGACAGGGTCTCCATGTAGCCCCAGCTGTCCTTGAATTCACAGACATCCACCTGCCTCTGCTTCCCAAGTGCTGGTATTAAAGGCGTGTGCCACCACGCCTGGCCTTTATTATTTTTATTTTATGTGTATGAGTGTATTGCTTGCATGTATGTAAGTATACCCATGTCCTACAGGGCCTGAGGAGGTCAAAAGAGGGAGTCTTGGAACTAGAGTTACAGACAGTTGTAAGCCACCATGTGGGTGCTGAGGACTGAACCCAAGTCCTCTGCAAGAACAACCAGTATTCTTGACCCATTGAGCCATCTCTCCAGCCCCTGTGGGTTTTTTATTTTTTAAGAGTGGGTCTAGCTTCTAGCTATGTAGCTCATGCTGGCCTCCTCTTAACTTGTGATCCTCTTGCCTCAACTCCCAGGGTACTGAAACTGGTGGTAGACAACAGTGTCCCCCATCACACAGGAGTGATGATCATGTGAGGCCAACCTGAGTAACACAGGGAGACTTCTGTCTCAAAAGAACAACAAAAAGTGTGTCATGAGCTAGGTTCAAAACAAAGCTTGTTAGTTCCTATTACTTCATAGCTGTGTGATTACAGGTATGTTTCCTGGGCATTCTATGTTCCTCGAGATTCCTTATCCATGAAATGAACAAGAGTAGCTATTTCATATAGCTATCAGGATGACATGGAAAAAAAAAAAAAAAAAAAAACCTATGTAAAGCCCTCAGTCTGACATCTCTGAGTCCTCAGAGAAAAAGTTAAAAAAAAAAAAAAAAAAGAACTGGGTGTGGTGGTGCACGCCTGTAGTCCCAGCACTTGGGAGGCAGGGGGCAGGCAGATGTCTGTGAGTTCAAGGCTAACCTGGTCTACATAGTGAGCTCCAGGCCACCTGGGGCTACAGGGAGACATGTTTCAAGATGACAAAAAGATTAAAAAAAAAAAGAGCTGATGTAGCGGTAGCGGTGCTCACCTTTAAGCCCAGCACTTGGGAGGCAGAGGCAGGCAGATCTCTGTGCATTTGAGGACAGCCAGTGCTACATAATGAGACCTTGTCTCAAAAAAAAACAAAAAACAAGCCTGTATGGTGGCACAAGCTTTTAATCCCAGCACTCTGGAGGCAGAGGCTGGTGGATCTCTGTGAGATCAAGGCCAGCATGGTCTACATATGGAGTTTCAGGCCACTAGTGCTACAGGGAGACCCTATCTCAAAAAACAAAAACAAGCAAACAACAACAACAAAAAAAAAAATTAAAGGAAGGAAGAAGTGAGCTAATTCTACATCTATTATTATTATTATCTATAACCATTAAGCTTTTTATCATTTTTCTTATTTTTAAAAGTTTTTATTCATTATTTTTATTTTACATGTATGAGTGTTTTGTCTGTATGTAAGTGCACCTGAGTCCTGCAATGCCAGTAGAGGTCAGATGAGGGTTCCCTGGAACTGGAATTATGGACAGTTGTTAGCCAAGGTGTAGGTGCTGGGAATCAAACCTGGGTCCTCTGCAAGAGCAGCCAGTGTTCTTAACTGACTCCAGCCCTTTATCATTTCTTAGTATGAGTTCCCCCAAAACAGAGACAATGTTAATACTCTTCAGCACACCCCACCCCCTGAGTGTCTGGTACAGCCCCTATAAGCAGCTGAGCTTCAATAGCTATTTTCTATGTGTGCAAAGTTCACATTGTAAGTCAACCAGGTAAATTCACTTTCCAGAAAAAGAGAAGAAAGCCTCTACATCATAACCCATTCAAATGCTTATATGAATGAATGTGTGCTACCGTTTTATCAGACTAAACCAATATCCAGGAACTATTTTAAATTGTTTTGCTTTTCAATTCTGTTTAAAGCAGGCTTTGATACAAATATGTTTTAATTTCAAATGAAAGCTGATTTTCACTGGAAATTAAATGTATCTTAAATTACGATCTGCTCAAATTATATAATACTCAAGTGTTTAATGCACTATCCTGAACTCAAGAGATCCATAAATAGTGGTTATATTTTTATAGTTTGAGTCCATTATGGTTAACAGAAGAAAAAAAAAACATATAGAGAAAAGGCTAACATGTGCCAAGCTGTATTAATTGTTAGTGATATTACAGGTAGTTCTTTAATTCCCCAGAGTTGGTAGCAAAGAATATACATATTCTTTTCTAATTACAGGAGGAAGCAGTAGTATTTTAAATGCCATTGATGAGGTCATCCATAGAGCCTGATACACACTCTTTCATTTCATCAGCTAAAACAATTCAGCATACAGTTCTTGAGACTTGCCCAGGTAGATGCAGGGGAGCTTGTTTTGCAGTGCAATCTCTTGTGCCCGTAAGTGCTTTTTCACAGTCACTGGGTAGTAGGTGCCTCCTTTGACAGTGGCATCATTGGCAACAATTACACATTCTACTCTGAAAGGCAGAAATGTCATTGGAAAAAGAGCATGAGATTACTTACAAAATTAAAGGCCGATTAAGCTTATTATATGATATCTAATAAACCTTGAACTTCTAGAATGCATCACCAATAACACTCATTACTAGCAGTCCTGGGTTTTAATCACAGTTCACACATTCATTTATACAATATAAAATGATTACTTCAATAAATTTACAAACACACTTGATTTTTTGTTGTTGTTGCCATTATTGTTTCTTGATTTTTGAGACAGGGTCTTTGTATAGCCCCAGTTAGTCTGGAACTCACTATATAGATCAAGCTGGCCTTGATCTCAGAGAGATCTGCCTGCCTCTACCTTGTGCTGGGATTAAAGGTGTGCACCACCATGCCCAGTGCACTTGATTTTTAAAGAGCTATTCATCCTATATCCATACTGAGAAACTAACATCCCAAGCCATGTTCATTATGCTTCTTGAAATGAAAGGATCCTAAGGTAAGAATGATAATCATTTCTTTTAAAATTCAAGTCTCACTCCAGAAAACTTGCTACAAACACAGATGTATACTTTTCTCTTGTTGATCTTTGTGTTATTTTAATTCTTAGGCCCAACCTGAATACTCTTAAAGGGTCATAGAGTAGAACTTTGCATTCCTATATCTTCTTATCTGAAAAATGAAAATGCTAACTGTATTACCACATTATTATACTACAAAGGGTTTATTTGAGTTTATACTTGGAAAGTTCTGTAAAGTGCCTAGCAAACAGTATGTGCTCAGTAAATGTTATATTTTGGTTAAAAAAAATCATACATTTTCAAAGCCACCTTTTAGGAAAGGAATTAGAGAAAATGAAAATTAACCTGACAAGAAAAATGAGATTTGTTTTCCAAATTTTCAAAAGTTCCTTAATAGCTGGGTGTGTAGTAGTTTTTGTAATCCCAGTACTCTGGAAGTAGAAGGATTCAGAGTTTGAAATCAACTGCATACATAGTGAGTTCAAGTCCTGCCTGGTCTCTTGAAGAACAAGACCCTGTCTCAAAAAAATAAGGCCTGAGGATATAATTCAGTGGAAGTTTGTCTTGCACATACACATGGCTCTGGTATCAATGCCCCACACCACAAAATAAAGGAAAAAAGTTGTTCGATGTTACAGCTGTATGCAAATCAGTAACAACAAAACAATCCTCTAGAAGTCTACAACAAATAGGTTGGTTGAAATCACAATGGATACAAATTCTAATATTGTGTAAAAAGAGGCTGGGGATGTGGAGCAGTTGGTATAGTGCTTGCCTAGCACACCCAAAACCCTGGGTTTGCTCCCCAATACTACATATACCAGGTGTGACGGTGTACACCTGTAATCACAGCACTGGAGTGGTAGAGGGCAAGAAGATCAGAAAGAAGCTCAAGGTCATTATCTACAGAGTGAGTTTGAGGCCTGCCTGGGTCACAGAAAAACCAATTAATTTAATTTAGCAGTACAATGAAAACATGAAAGATACAATGAATGATCAACATTACTCTTTCTCATTAAAGCCAATTTGTTTGGCGAGGCCCAGGTGACAAGGTTCAGGGTGGCAAAGGAAGGCATCAGGAAGAGGAACCCCCTAGCATTGCCACAGAATCTTAAATCAGAGGTCCACACCTATAATCCCAGCACTCAGAGGGATGATGCAGGAGGACCATTAGTTCAAGGTCAGTCTGAGCTACATAGTGAGCTCCAAGTTAGCCTGCGCTATATGGTGAAGTCCTATATATGTTTAAAAAACAAAAAAAGTGAGGGGCTAGAGAAACAGCTCAGCAATTAAGAGGTCCTGCTGCTCAAGTCTGAGAACTGAGTTTGAATGCCACATTGGGTGGCTCACAACTACCTGTTACTCCAGCTCCAAGGGATCAGACACCCTCTTCTGGGCTCCAAGGACATTCATACATACACATACACACACACACACACACACACACACACACACACACACACACTAAAATTTTTAAAAATAAAGTTTTTAAAATCAGAGTTTCATTTGAAATCAGGTAGCAATGTAATCTTTACAAAATTCAATTTTCTTTACATTTATGATGTTTTCTTCTCTTATTTTATGCTCTCAAAAACTCTAAGGAGTTACTTTTTGGAACCATGCTCAAAAGAGAGAACAGCAACTGAGTACCAGTGGAGGGCAGTGCTGAGCTTGCACACTAACAGCAGGGATCACACAACTCATTTCAGTTACCGACAGACCATATTTACCACAGTGATCCCGTGGGGTTAGACTATCTAGTGCCATCCCAGCCATCCCGGGTATAAGGGTACTCTAGGGATGTTCTCACAACAGTACTCAGACTATATCACAACTATATGTACATGGGAAAACTGGGGAAGACCAGGCCCCAAGGGGTTAACAGTCTTTGTGACTGGAGGTATGATAAAGAATATTCTATTTAGCCGGGCGTGGTGGTGCACGCCTTTAATCCCAGCACTTGGGAGGCAGAGGCAGGTGGATCTCTGAGAGTTCAAGGCCAGCCTGGTCTACATAGTGAGTTCCAGGATAGCTGGGGCTATAGGGAGACCCTGTCTCAAAAAGATAAAAAAAAAAAAAAAAGAATATTCTATTTAATATTGTGTTTCCATGACAGGGGAATTTAATTATGAACTATATTCATTTTAAATTTTTTTATTTTTTTTTATATGTATGAGTGTTTTGTCTGCATGTATGTGAGTGCACCTGTGTCATGAAATGCCAGAAGGCAGTGTCAGATCCTCTGGAACTGGAGTTATGGATGTTTGTTAGCTGCTATGTTGGTGCTAGGAACCAAACCCAGGTCCTCTACGAGATCAGCTAGTGCTTTTAACCCCTGAGCCATCTTTCCAGCCCTTAAATTTTATTTTCAAATGTCCCAGAAGACCTCCTCCCCAATATGCCTCCACACTGGTGAACACTAAGCAAAGAGACATGAAGGAAACCAGAGAGTGAAGTCAGGAGGTTAGCTGGAAGAAGCAGTAACAATGGTGAATGGCTGTATCTGTGCCTCTCCTGAAGGCACAGGCCACAGGAGACAGAGAAACCCAGGCCACAAACCAGCACCTGAGCTAGTGTTAACTGGCTCAGTCAGAATGCGACCAGAGCCACACTCCCCCCATTCTCATGACTATTATGGCCCAGTTCTCACTCAGGTGTAGATCATGAAGAGCTGACATAATCCTAGACACAGCACCAACATGGAAAATCCAACATCAAACAAAAGCATATAAATAAATTTAACACTGGGCAAACTACATTTCTGAAGTCTAATTGGTTCTAACATCAGCATGAGAAAACCCACAGGACTTGCTAAAACAGACTGCAGGGCTGACTTAGTACTTCAGGGGAAGACCCATGAATCTGCTTTTCTAACACAATCCCAAGTCATGTGGATGCAGCCTGGAGACCATGAGGGATATCTGCTCCTCTAAGACAGTGGTGTTCACCATAGATGTACAGGAAGTCACGTGGAAAGCTCCTAAACACTTAAGATGCCAAACCCACACCTCAAGGCTCTGATTAACTGAGGAGGTCTAAAATGGATCCCAGAGACCCTGCTTGATTTTTTTTTCTCCCTTCAATTTGTGGTCTCTAAAGTTCCAGAGATGACCCTAATATGTGTCTGTGTAGAACACTCAAGTCCAAATAATATACATAGCACAAAGCTTGCATTCTTGCATGCCCTCAAAGTCTTCACCTTGAACACAGGTAGAGTACTCACCCAGACACTCTGCCAATGCCTGTAATGATACCACCTGCAGGGACTTCCTCATCACCATACAACTGGTAACCTGCAAATTGGGAGAGTTCCAGAAAGGGAGATCTGAAAGGAAGAAAAGGATGTGTGAATTAAATATCTGTATTTGAAAAGTTATACATAAGAAAAGATTTTTAATGGGGTAATATTTCAAAAATGCATCTCATATATAGTATCTACAAAGATTTCTAAAATAAGATATGATAAGAATATCTTAGGAAATCAAAATGTCCTTGGGCCTCTTAGCAATATATTCCTTTCCAAAGGCCAAAAATGTCAAAAGTATTTGGGAACTCTTATCTAATCCCTAAAAGATTTTAGGGTTACCTCTTCAGAGGGGAAAATGTTAGCATAGCAAAAATCCCCATTTAAAAAAAAAAAAAAAGAGTATATGAAGTTGTTCAGGAAAAAGTGATGGGGAGATATGGGAGGAGTTGGAGGGGAGGGAGTGGGCATGGATTTGATCAAAACACCTTATATGCATGTATCAAATTCTCAATAATTTTTTTGTTAAAGTTAAAAAAATTCAAACACTAAAAAAGAGTACATGTCTTCTGGCTTTCATTGACAAAATGGTTAATAAGTTTTTGTGTATGATCTTTAAATAGACATCATTTCAATAAGTTAAAAGTTCAATCAGAATAAAGCAACATATCTGAAATCTGCTGTCATCTATACTATTTCACTAGTTATTACCAGAACTGGATAATCTTCACCTTTGAAGACACTGCACAGCTGAATTTCAGCTCACCTAGTACAACACTGATATTCTGGAAAGCAAGAAATGCCAGATACAGTACTCCCTATGCGCTTCCTCTGGAAAGAAATGTGGCATTACATATAATGCAGCGTTGTTGTTGGACTCAGGAAAGAACTTTGGAGAAAACCTTATAAAACCTTATAATCACTGTGCTCCAAATTATAATCAAGCAACCAAAAATAAATTTTTAGGAATTTACATGGATTTAGCATGCAATAGACTACAACATAACACTGGGTATTTACTTTTTAAAGTGTGTGCACATGTGTGAATTAACAGAAAGAGTAACAGACAACATTTACCATGCACCTTTCTCTCATCTATGGGCTTTATAAACACTAACTCATTTGCCAATGAGAAAACCAAAACACAGAGTCACTAGTCTAAGGTCACACAGCTGGCAAATGGCAGGACTGGGATTCTAATAAGCATTCTGTTCCCAGGGAAAATGCTCTTAGCCACCACTGTATTGTTCACTTCTCAATTACATACATGTTCAAGATACAACTGGGAAAAAGAGTTCTAAAACACTATATTTGGTATGATTATTATTTTTTTAATGCAGGTGCCTGATACATAAAGGCTAAAAGAATATACATTGGGGACCAAGAGATGGCTCAGCAGGTAGAAGCCTTTGTACACAGGCATGACAACCTGAGTTCAATCCCCAGATACCACAAAGTAGTAGGAGAAAAGTGACTTGAGAGTTGTTCTGACTTCCACACACACTGTGCCATGATGTGCACACACTTCCACACTTAGACTATCTTTCACACACTCACAGACTAAATAAATAATACTAAGTGTTAATCTCCAGGCTATCTGAGGGTACATGTCATAAGAAAAACTATTTTGGGGGCTGGGTCTATAGCACAGTTGATGGAGTGCTTACCTGGCATACACAAAGCCCTGGGTTGGATCCTAGGCACCACATGGTGGTGCATACCTATAATCTCAGCATTAGGGAGGTAGAAGTAGGAGGATCAAAGCCAGGGCTGTAGCTCAGTGGTAGAGTGCTTGCCAAGCATAAGTGAAGCCCTGGGTTTAATCCCCAGTACTTTCAAAAGAGGAGGAGGAGATTCAAGGTCATCCTAGGCTGTACAATGAGTTTGAGGCCAGCCTGGGCTACATGAGACCCTGTCTCAAAAAATGAAAGAAACTAGAGAGATGGTTCAGGGATTAAGAGCACTTGCTGCTCTTGCAGAGGACTTGGGTTCAGTTCCCAGCACCTACATACTGATTAACACCCATCCTTAACTCCAGTTCCAGGGGATCCAACAGCCTCTTCTGGTCTGCACAGGGACCAGGCACACATGTGGTACACTTAGATATATGCAGGCCAAACACTCATACACACAAAATATAAATAAATAGGGAGCTAGAGAGATGGCTCAGTGGTTAAGAGTACTGGTTACTATTGCAGAGGACCCAGGTTCGGTTCCCAGTACTCACATGGTAGCTAACAACCATTCTTTACTCCAGTTCCAGGTGATCCAATGCCCTCTTCTGACCTCTAAAGGCATTGCATGCATGTAGTGTACTTACATACATGTAGGCCAAACAGACATACACGTAAAATAAAAATAAATAGAAAATTAAAAATAATAAAAATAAATTCTTTTAAAAGAGAAAAATGAGGGGCTGGAGAGATGACTCAGTGGTTAAGAGCACTGAGTGCTCTTGCAGAGGACCCGGGTTTAATTCCCAGCACCCACATGGTGGCTACGAACCGTCCTTAACTCCAGTTCCAGGGTAATCTGAAGACCTCTTCTGACTTCCATGGCATTGCATGACACGGATGCACTCAACATACATGCAGGCAATACACTCATACACAAAATAAAAATAAATAAACAAAATAAAAATAAAATATTAAAAAAGACAGAAGAGAAAGTGAGAGGGAAGGAGGGAGAGGGAGAGAAAGAAAGAAACAAAACGTATGGATTTATTACTCCTCCCAGACTTCGCCTTGTACCTTGAGCCCCATCCTTCAGGAAACAGGGTGACTATAATACACGTGGAACCCAACTCTCCCAGGCCTCCACTCCTCTAACCTGTCTGATCCCCAACACATGTACCTCAAGTCAGTGCCCTACTGCTCAGTCAGTTCCTAATACAGCAGCCAGAAGAACATCTCCTTCGTTCTTCCAGGAGAGCAAAGACATGTATCCATTTTGTTACTTAATGTATCACCGCTGCCTGCAATAATGGCCCACATGTAGTAGGTTCTCAATAAATGTGTACTGTTAGAACTTTCTAAGAACCAAAATTCAAAGTCATTTACTTATAGGACTGTCCAGGGGAACAGAGAACACCCTGGGGTAGCAGGCGACTAGTACCAACCCTGGGTCTATGAGGTTGTCGATTCTCTCTCTAGGTAACAGTTTTCCTCTTGATGTATGCCGGGCCCGGGCTTTCTCACTGCCTCCTACAATAAAAGCATGATCAGATCAGTGCACAAGATAAGGCCTCCATTCCATTTAATGCCAGAAAAACATACAATGTTCCACTCAAAACATGACACTTTAGCTCACATCTTGACAAAATTGCACTAGTCACAGAGCAGCTGACCTATCCCAAGCAGGCTACTTTAAGTCAAAGGAACACTAGCCTCACCATCCAACCTGCAGGCGAGGACTCCATGTCTTGGGTATCTAACCCCCAAGTCTCAGCAAACCACAGTAATTAAGTGAGAAGAGAAGATCAACCTGTACATAAAATGCTTATTTTCACTATTGCCCCTAAATTTATCTTAACATAGTCTTTGTCTAGTGAAGTATTCAATGATTTAAGGAAACATTTCTTTGTTGATTTAAATAAGAAATTATGTTCACATCTATTTGAAACAAGCTTCCAAATACATCCTTGTTTTTCAAATCAGAACTCTTGGCTGCAGAAGGATATTTTTTTTCTTCTAAGGAAGCACACAACAAATTCTTAAGATTAAATCTACTGTTAGGTTACCAAGAAAATGATATTTTACAGTTATTTCTTCTTTCAAAATGAAATAATTCTATGAAAGAAAGACTTAGTTATAAAATAGTATGAGTAAAATTGTTTTTCTTTTCTCTCAGCCACTGGCCACATCCCTAATGATGTGTCTTTAGGAGCAGGGGAAAGGAGTGCAGGGGGACGAAGAGCAGAGGAGATTCTGGGGGATGCTGCCTTGATTTTCGTGATGATTTCATGGGTATATGTAGGTCAAAATGCTTCAAACTACACACTTTCATGCAGCTTACTATCTATTAATTATGCTTCAATATATAAAAAATAAACAATGGGGCTTGAGAGACATCTCAGCAGTTAAGAGCACTGGCTGCTCTTGCAGAAGAACCCAGTTCAATTCCCACATGGTGGCTAACAACTGTCCCTAACTCCAGTTCCAGGGGCTCCGATGCCCTCTTCTGGCCTCCACGGGTTTTGCATGACATGGGTGCATTTACACATAAAATAATTAAAAAAAAATTTTTTTTTAAAAATGAAAGGACTGCCAATATATTTTAAAAAATAAAAGCAAAGTTAGGTGTGGTGGCACATGCCTTTAATCCCAGCACTTGGGAGGCAGGGGTAAGAGGATCTCTGTGAGATTGTGGCCAGCCTGCTCTACATAGTTCTAGGCCAGCTGGGCTCCAGGGAGATGGAAAGAAGAAAAAAGGGGGGGGGGAAGGAAAGAGGGAAAAAGAGAGAGAGAGAGAAGAAAGACAGACCTGGGCAAGGGTCTTCGGAGAGTCAGATTGATTAACATAAGTGCTCATTAAGGGGCTAGCAGGAAGGGGTCCAAAAGTGGGAGGCTTAGGCAGGTGGATAGCTATGAGTTCAAGGCCAGCCTGCACTACATAGTGAGTTCAGGTAACCTGGGACTACAAGGAGACCTTTTCTCAAAAAGACAAAAAAAAAAAGTGGGAGGTGGGTAACAAAGAGGAGGAAGGGGATAGAGTATTTAAGACCGTATCACTCCTTAGCTCTCTGTACAGTCTGTCACAGGTGGTTACACTGTATCACTCCTTAGCTCTCTGTAGAGTCTGACACAGGTGGTTAGACTGTATCACTCCTTAGCGCTCTGTAGAGTCTGACACAGGTGGTTAGACTGTATCACTCCTTAGCTCTCTGTACAGTCTGACACAGGTGGTTAGAGTGTATCACTCCTTAGCACTCTGTAGAGTCTGACACAGGTGGTTAGACTGTATCACTCCTTAGCTCTCTGTAGAGTCTGACACAGGTGGTTAAAGCAGTTCCCTAGCACCCATACAGCAGCTAACAACCATCCCTAACTCCAGTTCCAGGGGATCTGATGCTCTCTTCTGGCCTCCACAGGCATTTCATGCATGTGGTACACTTCCATGCAGGCAAAACACTCATACATTAAAAAATAAAAATGAATAAATGGAGCCAGGTGTGGTGCATGTCTTTAATCCCAGCACAAGGGAGGAAGAGGCAGGTGGATGTCTATGAGATCAAGGCCAGCCTGGTCTACATAGAGAGTTCCAGGCCAGCTGTGGCTACAGGGAGACCCTGCCTCAAAACCACCCCCCCTGCCAAAAAAGAAAGAAATTGTTTAAGCTTCCTGTCTCAACCACCAAAACCCTCTGTAGTTTTTTAGATCCAAGGATAAAAATAAAGCACTTCTAAATTTATCAAAACACTTAAAGTCCTTCGATTAACTCAGGTCAGTCAAAATACTTAGTTCTGGCTATTGTGAAAACACATCAGGGGTAATCCTTTCTCTGCCTACAGAGATGACTGAGTCACTCATATAATCCTACATGCTCAAATAGGGACAAAAGGGGAAATCAAAGACAACAGAGCCGGGAAGAAACCTGAGACACAGAGGTGTGATAACAGAAAAGCAGGCAAGGGACACCTAATCCCATTTATCTCATTTATCACGTTCTTGCTAATGAGAAACTTCAAGGGTCACTATGAAACAACCCAAAACACCTGTCCCTTCCTCCCATCTGAAAACCATATTGGAAATTGCATGAATTAAATTTCTTTTTAAATCTAAGGGAGGGGACTGGAAAGATGGCTCAGTGGTTAAGGCACTGGCTGTTCTTGCAGAGGACCCAGGTTCAGTTCCCAGCACCCACATGGCAGCTAACAACTGTCCTTAATTCCAGTTTCAGAGGTTCTGACACCCTCTTCTGATATCTATGGGCATTGTATGACACGGGTGCACCCATATGCATGTAAAATACTCATACACATAAAAGAAAATAAATAATTTAAGTCAGAATATATAAATTCCACAATCAGAGGGGGAAAAATGAAAAATAAAAAAAGGAGACAAGTAATATTTCTCAATTCTTAATCAACATACTAAGTTAGTCCATGGGTAGTCAGAGCAAAATCATAGGAGAAATGCCCAAAGCAAGGAGCACAAAATCCCCTAAACAACAACCACACACGCGCACACACACACACACACACACACACACTTTGCTATTAAAGTGATTATGAGACTGCCCAAAAGTGTACATTTAGAGGGATTTTCTTATGGATGATTTTTTAAATTCTATTTTTTGGTCTTTTTGAGACAACGTCTCTCTGTAGCTCCAGCTGGCCTAGAATTCACTATGTAGACCAGCCTGGCCTTGAACTCACAGAGATTCACTTGCTTCTGTCTCCTGAGTGCTAGGATTAAAGGCATACAAATGTTTTATTTATTAATTTTATTTTATGTGTATGCGTGTACTGCCTGCATATATGTAAGTGCACCTGTATCATGCAATGCCCTTGGAGTTCAGAGAGGGCATTGGATCACCTGGAACTGGAGTTACACACAGTTGTTAGCCACTATATGAGTGCTGGGAACTGAATCCCGGTCCTCTGTAAGAGCAGCCAGTGCTTTTAATTGCTGAGCCATCTCTCCAGCCCCTATTTATAGGTAATTTTTTTCTTCTTAATATTTCTTTATTTTCTAAAGTTTCTAGAATTATATATTAATATAATTTAATCATAAGCAATATAAATTAATATATATACTTAAGCCAGGCTTAGTGGCATGTACCCTTAATCCCAGCATTTGGGAGGCAGAGGCAGGAGGATCTTTGTGAGTTTGAGGCCAGCCTGGTCTACATAGGGAGTTCCAGGCCAGCTGGGGCTACAGGGAGACCCTGTCTCAAATAAATAGATAGATAGATAGATGATAGATAGATAGATAGATAGATAGATAAACTTACATAATGTCCACTTCTAATATCCATCTTCATGGCATGATTCTAGGCAAAATTAGAATAGTGATGGTTGAAGTTGTTCTCTCCCCCAATTCTGCCTCACCCCCCAGGGGCCGGCTCAGTCCTATCCTGCTGGAGACCAGCCTTCTCCTGCAGCTCACCAGAGCCTGCCTACCCTCCTCAGCAGGTACCCAGTGCTATAGGATTCCCTAATGTCCCAGGGAACCCTCAATCCATCAAATACCACTGTGAGGATGATCGTAATCATGGAGTTACCTCTATCAACGGAACACGTTTTCACTTCCACAGAGCTCTGCATCTTTCTCTGGGGACAGTGCCTTAATCTACTTCTATTTTTCTGGGATAGAGGGATGGGTGTGCCAGGAATCTAATCCAGAGCCTTACATACCTAAAGCAGGCACACTATCTCTGAGCTACAAACCCAGGCCCTCTGGAAACAGTATCTTTTAAAGGGGTGTTCAACCTTTTGACATTGTAGCATGTCATCTACACAGTTTACATTTGAGATTTGTGCAAATTGAATTACAAAAAAATTGCAAAACAAACAAACCTCTCAATGTTTTAAGTAAGTTTATGTTTTTTTTGTTAGCTGCATTTGTAGCTATCCTTAGCGACATGCCATCCACCAGCAGCTGGTTGGACACACCAGACAGACCTTCAAGGGTAGGAATTCCAGTCACCTTTCTGAAAAAGGTTTTACTAATTTTGACTACAGTGCTATAGGCACAGATCAATATATTCTAAATACCTCTATTTTCTGTCCGTTTTAATGAATTGATTATTCTATATAACCTATTAATTTAAAAGACAGAAATAAGTACTTAGAAAGTGAATACTTATAATTCACAGACCTGTTCCTAAATTTAAGTATGAGATATAGGTTTAAATGAGATTCTTAAAATGTACTAGAAACCTTATTAGAAGAATTAAATGATTCAGCTGGGCATGGTGACACACACCTTTAATCCCAGCACTTGAGAGGCGGAGGCAGGCAGATCTCTGTGAGATCAGGGCCAGCCTGGTCTAAGTAGCCAGTGGCAGGCCAGCTAAGGCAACAGAGAGACCCTATCTCAAAAAGATAAAAAAAAAAAAGAAGAAGAAGAATTAAATGATTCAACAAGGGCTGAGGATGTAATCATTAGTAAAGTACTTGCCTAGCATAATGAATTCCTGGGTTCAATCCCTTGCAACACATAAAATGGGCATGACTGTCCATGCCTGTAATCCCCTGCAGTTAGGAGGTAAAGGAAGAAGGATCAGAAATTCAAGGTCATCCTCTGCTACACATGGAATTCAAAGTCAGTTTGCGCTACAAGAGACCTTGCCTCAAAAATAAATGATTTAACTAAAGTGCTTAGTTATAAAACTAACAAATCAATCTGGTACAACTCTAGCAAAATTCTATACAAGACCAATAATGAGGCTCCTTCTTCCTAATACAGTACACAAGTGGTACACAAGTAAACAGGCAACTTTAGATGTCCTCTCTGTTCACCTGTCACTAATCAGTCACCTTTCCTAAATAAATTCCTTAAATAAAAAAAATACATTGCCTTTAATCCCAGCAATGGATTAAAGGAGGCAAAGGCAGACAGACCTCTGTCAGTTCAAGGCCAGCCTGGTCTACATAGTGAGTTCCAGGCCAAGAGAGGGGCTACAGGAAGACCCTGTCTCAAAAAGAGAAAAAAAAAAAAAAAACCATAATATTTTTTGTCCATTTACTTCTCTTAATTACTTCAACAGAGGAAGGCTGTCTTCCATATGACGATGCAACAATACTCTCAAACCATAGGTTACAGGTGAAAACAGATTCTACCTGTGAAGATACTGGGAGGTTTGGTTTGGTTTGGTTTGGTTAGTGAGGGCTATAAAATTCATATTCTTCCTTCTAGGTAGGTACCTATAACATACTAAGAATCTTATTTTGAAGATGGGTGTAGGGGCACATGACTGGAATCAGAGCATTTGGGAGGCTGAGGCAAAAGAATCCTGAGTTCAAGGCCAGCTTAGGCTACACAGCAAGACCCTGTCAGCAAAGGAAAAATCAGGGGGCTGGAGAGATGGCTTGGTGGTTAGGAGTACTTGCAGAGGACCCGAGTTTGGTTCCCAGTACCCACATGGTAGCTAACAACATTGAAACTCCAGTTCCAGAGGATCCAATGCCTTCTTCTGGCTTCTTCAGGTATTACACAACACGGGTGCACTTACATACATACATGCAGGCAAAACACTCATACAACCCAAATAAAAATAATTTTTTAAAAAAGGAATAAAGAAAACAAACTGAGGTGTAACACAGTGCTTACCTAATCTTATATTCTGGACTCGTTCATGAAGTTCATTTACTAGAGCTTTCATCTGTTCATAATTCTCCTAAAACAGAAGCACAGAGGGAAGGGGACAGGACTGTTACAAAGCAGCTAGCCTTTTATCAAAGTAAGAGTCAAGAAACATGTCAGGGACTGAAGAGATAGCTCAGATGTTAAGAGCTCCTACTACTCTGGCAGAGGACCCAGGTTGGGTTCCAGCACCCAATGTTGACAAACAACCACCTGTAACTTCAGTTCCAGGAGATCCAACGCCCTCTTCTGGCTTCCACAGGCTCCTGTACATACATGGTGTATACAAACTCATGTAGACACACACAAATAATAAATAAATCTCTTTTTTTTAAAAAAGAAACACATCAAAGCCTGGAAGTATGACGAGGGGTAAAGCACTTGACTAGCACACATGAAGCCTGGAATTCAATTCCAGTACTGCAAAAAAGAATGAATGAAAGGGGGAAGGGAGGAAGAAAGGGAGGAAGAAAGGGAGGAAAGAAGGAAGAAGATAGATACCATCTCTGTGTGACTTCTACTTGGGGCCACTCTTATCCATGTGGCCTCCAAATTGGCCAGTCTATCCTATAGAAAGATTAATTCCTGCACTATTGTTCTAAAATGATGGCCAAATTTGTTTTCTCCCCCTATGTAGAAGCCTTTGAGAGGGAACTGACACTAATTCTAACCACTCCAACAGCTATCAAAATACCTGAAAGCAAACCCTGAATCCATCTCTCTTGAGTCTAGCC